TCTCTGCCCCTCTCTCCCTCATTTGCTATACATCAATGCTCTCATTTGAAATACATATTCTCTATTTTTTCCTCTGCTGCTAGCATCAGCCTCTCTCTGCTTTTAAATTTTTAAACTTCACAGCTGGGAGAATTACCAAAGGCATGACATGAAAGATCCCTCCAATATCACAGTTTTATTTTATTGAAAATTACATTTCCTGCTTTAAAAGAAGGATTTATATTGTTTTGTAATAGGCTTTGTTAGTTTGTTTAAGTGCATTACATACACAGTTCTGTTACATAAATTGGGTTATTTAAAATATCTGGAGTTGATGTTTCAATTTTACAATTAAAGTAGCCATTAGTAACACAATTGCCCCAAATGGCAATAATAAAAGAAATAACAGTCATTTATCAGCTCAAAATCCATAACATGAAATTTTTCCTTATTTACAAGCACCAGCCAATATATCAACCAGTGTACTTTGCTCTTAATATTTTTAATTATTATTCAATAGGCTGCTGGCTCTACTAATTTTTTTTTATTATTATTATTGTAAAGGATTGAGACAGGTCTCAATGACATATCATTTCAGAGAGGAACTGAGGGGAAAGACAGAGCTGATCTAAATGCTCATAAAAACTGCCTTCAATTTTTAGATTTGATTTTTTCAAGTTCACTTTAATAATTTTGGGTACTTCATGCAGTGCCTGGCACTATTTTTAATTAGGCAAGGATTAAAGTCCTTGAGAAATGTAAAAATTTCTGTAAAAATCTTATGATGGTTACAACAAAGTAAAATGGCTAGGAAATTCAGAACCTGCACACTTATGCACTTGTGAGTTATTCCTGGGCTGCAAATGACAAACCAAGAAAAATCAAAGGAGGAAGAAAACACACAACATTACTCATTCAGTGCATTTGCAAAATACTGTAGAAATATTGATGCTGCACTTCAATGTACTAAAATGTTTCCTCATGGTGTTTCAGTGTTACTGTACTCTTTTGAATCAAAATCACAGAATTGCAGGGGTTGGAAGGGACCTCAAGAGGTCATTGAGTCCAATTCCCCCTGCGGGTACCCTACAATAGGTCGCACAGGTAGGTGTCGAGACAGGTCTTGAATATTTCCCCAGGAGACTCCACAAACTTTTTGAGCAATCTGCTCCAGAGCTCCATCACCCTTATCATAAAGAAGTTCTTTCACATGTTTGCATGTATCATCCTATGTTCCGGTTTTAGGCCACTGTCCATTCTCCTATTCCTACATACCACTGAGAAGAACCTGGCCTCATCCATTTGCCTCCCACCTCCCTTTAGATAATTATAAACATTGGTCAGATCCCTCCTCAGGCTTCTTTTCCCCAAGCTGAAAAGACTCAGGTCACACAGCCTTTCCTCATACGGGAAATACTCCTGGCCCTTCATCATCTTTCTGGCCCTCCACTGGACTCCTCCTAGGAGATCCCTGCACTGGGGAGCCTAGAACTGGACACAGTATTTTAAACGTGGCCTCACCAAGGAAGAGTAGAGGTGGAAGATCACCTCCCTCAACCTGCTGGCCCCGCTCCTTTTAATTCACCCCACGATACACTAGCTTTCTTGGCCACAAAGGCACACTGTTGGCTCATGGCCACCCTGTTGTCCACAAGAACAGCCAGGTCCTTCCCCGCACACACAACATACACATACTTTGTCATTTCTGCAACATGCAGAGTGACTGAGTGGTTGTCTGGCCATTTTCTTATCCTCAGTTCACATCTTTTCATTTACTTAAGCTCAGTGAAAGCAATGGAACACACGCTTGATCCATGAAGACCAACAGTACACTTAATTAAGACATATAACTAAATGTGGGTGGCCAAGCATTCCCAGCCTTGCATACTTCTAGCAGAAAATCAAACTTTGTATTTACTAGGGGGCATTTTTGCTCCATATTTACACAATCAGAGGTGCTTTAATGCCTACGAGCAGCATAGGTTTTCATTTATTATTCGTCTTGTTTACAGGTCTTTGGAATAAGAAATAAAACAATATCATATATCATGGCCTTCCAGAAACATTACGACTTCCTCTTATTCACAGTAGTTGAGAGCAAACGGAAAATTCATCTAATGCAAAACAAAGCAACATAATTCTGCTAATGCCAACCTCTACTTTCACTCTTTCTTAACTGTTCATTGAAGAAAAATGTTGAACCCTCTGGGCAGCATACTGGCAAGGGCCCCTACTAATTACTTCTTGCCCAAGGACAGGAAACGACCTCTCCAGACAAAATACGAAGAAATATCAAGAAAATCTTGGCCTGGTGTTAATAGAACATGACTTTCTCAAGCCAGAAAAAGGAAAACTCATTTTCAAGCATCTCCTTTTCATTCTATATGGAATGATCTCTCTCTTAATCTATCAATCTATATGGACTAATTGATCTCTATAGGCCTCTAGTCCCATATGGACTAATCTACCTCCCAAAGGGAACAAAATATTTTAAAAAGTTACATCGAATGAAACTTTGCGAAGTTTGATAAACCTCATGCCACAGAAATGAAAGCCTGTGTTTTTAAGTACATACAACATTTCCAAGTTCGCAGTACTCAAAAAATAAAGGCAGAATCAGGATCAGGATTCAGCGATTCTGGAGCAAAGTTTCAAACCAGTACAGTTTCATAAACAGGAATAGATGTAAAATGAAGCATTAAGGTTAAACTCTACTACAGACAGACAAACAAGGCAAATGGTATGAGAAAAATGAGGCAATCTGCTTTCTGATGTAGTGATACTGAAGATGCAACAAAACTAATGAAGCAAGGGCACTGAAAAATCTATTGTACTAGAACTGTACTGGAATTACACCATTAACTGCTTATTCTTGTGGTCCTGTTTGTTTGAGTAACAGTTCTTAGATTTGATCGTTCTTTTAGATTTACAGTTTGCTTGATTCAATCTCAATTTTTTTCACTTGAGATATTAAACAGACAAAATGACCTTGATTTCCATACGCAAACATACATATGTATATATAGTTTAATACTACATCAGACTTTTGTTCTGAATCTTCAGTCTTGCAGAACTGTTTATTACGTTTTGTTCTTACCCAAATGTCTTTTATACTGTATTGTATTGGTTGACTTGTGCAATTCCAGTAATTCACCTCTGAGATCTTATGTCAAAATTGGGAAAGAGTTGCTTTTATTAAACCAAGAATCACAAAGTAATTTATGTTGAGACCTTTGGAGGTCTCCACGAAAGGTCACAGCAGGGCTAACACCAAAGCTAGAGCTTGCTGCTCAGGGGCCAGTCAAGGTTTATACATCTCCAAAACTGGAGATTCCAGAGTCTGTGAGCACCTGCTCTGCTATTTCAACATTCCATTATGCAATTTCTTTCTTTCTGTCCTTTTCCCAACTAGATCCTCATCTTAGCCTCAGAATAACTTCTGCATGCGCTGGCTTCAAGACTTGCAGCACAAAAGGGAATGGCTTCAAGCTGCGCCAGGGAAGGTTCAGGCTGGACGTTAGGAAAAACTACTTCTCTGAAAGGGTGGTCGGGCGCTGGAATGGGTGCCGACCCCGGAGGAGTTCAAGGAACGTTTGGATGTTGTGTTGAGGGACATGGTTTAGCGAGAACCATTGGTGATGGGTGAATGGTTGGACTGGATGATCCTGGGGGTCTTTTCCAACCTTAGTGATTCTATGATTCTATGAATTCTGGAAGCTACTTCTAACTGCAATATCAAGACTGCTAGCAATTCATGTATACTTACATTAGCCAGTAAGACAGATTGCCCCGTCCAATAAATTTTGACCCCCTTGACAGACTTACTTCAGATGAGAGAAAGTTACTTCTGTGTTCAAACTTATAGGTCTGCATTTTCTGCAGAAGAATTATATTCATTTAAGTTCACATTTTCAGTTAGCTTTAGCAACAGATGCTTTTTTGGTGATAACTCTTTAATGTCCCGAGTCATAGTGGAGGTACTTTCAACAAGGAAAATGGCCAACAGTTCACTTTCAATCACATGCAGTGAATCACCAGATTCTTCTCTCAGGGGGAAGAAAAAAACAGCCCACAGACGATCCTCCTTTGATACTGCTCACTGCTTTGGGACCAGATCTCATATGCATTATTTAGGAATCCTTAAACCAAATTAAAAATACTAAGATGACAGTGACAAAGCATCTTTTCCAAGAAAAAAAGCTTTTAAGCATTTCAGGAGACTGGGTGCTAACTTACTTTTTGTTAATTCTTCTCCCATTTTTTTTTTTTCCTGTTTTTATTCCACCTTCAGAAGCATCCATATCCTATTGATTACCTCTCATTTTTACCTCCAGAAAAAAATACTTTCTGAGATAAGTACATGACATGACCACAGTTTGCTTGTGTATTCAAATTTTGACTGTACTGGCTTAGAATAAACACCAGGCAAATGGAACAGAAATCAAATTATACTCCTCAAAGGCAAAGCACTAAAATACAAATTTAAAACACGAAGGAATATACATATGCAGAAGGAATGGTTCCTTGGTTTATCCTTCTTCTTCTCTAAACGCATCATAAAAAAAGTTATGTTTCATTACTGAAAAAAACATTTTTGCTTCTTTCATGATTGCAAAGAAGGGTAATTAAAGACTGTCAAGAAAACTCATTGAGCAGCTGTATATTCTTAACAAAAGCACTATTATATGACTGCACTGAAGTAAAAAAAAAACAACCTGGCAACTTAAATGTTCACATTTCCTAGAAGTCATATACTTCTCCAAGCTCCAGTAGATACCAAAAAATGCTTCCTTATAAATCTCAGTTGTGTATCAGCAGCTTGTTCCCAGTTTGTGAACACATACACAAAGAGAAATGAATGGCAGTAGCAGAGCTTCACTAGTTGAAAACTGAGGCACAGAAAAATGTTTCTAGCTACTTCTCAAACTGGGATTAGCTGAAATTTTCTTAGACTGAAAACCAAATAAAGACAGAGTAATCCTTCCAGCTTGAACTGAAAAGGACCATTAAGGAATACTTACTCATCAAAAATCAAGTCTGGAGCAAAGTAGAGGAACTGGCTGTTTGTATGTTTGTATGATCTCCAACTCAAGGCAAACGATGACAGACACATCCACGAATACTGAATTAAAGTAATTTGGTCCTCGAGAGGCAAGTTTCTAAATCCTAGAGAACAAAACAGAAAATGCACATGAACTATGTTGTGCCCTTCAAGGGTTGGCAAATACATCACTCATTATTTTTCTAGAATTATAGTCAAGAACAAGAGCAACACACCCACAAAGTACATTTCTGAAGAAGCAAAACCATAATTTTTCATCTAGTGACAAAACATGTTTTCTTCTACAGAGACTATTATTCAAAATGAAAGACTTTAAATATCTATCACAAGCACATGAAACAAACATGAACAAATTAAAAAAACAAGAATCTTCTCTCAGGCATTCATCCTGTTCCCCTTGTTAGGATTTTCAACCCAGCCCATAGTCGAAAGATGCAATTAATCAGGCAAATAGTTGATAAATCTAGAAGGCTGACCAGAAATTTCACCAAATGCCTCATGATCCTACCTGGAAGTATCTTTGCCCACTTTACCACCTGAATCATCTGCTTGCCGGCCAGGCGGTTTAAGGTGGAAAGCAGGTACTCGGCTGTGTCTGGTTTTGAGCTGTCGTATCCTGCGTACACGATCTCTGGTTCAATGCTTTCAAGGATCTTAACAGGAGAGGGAGTAAGTGCTGGTGAGATGGCAGACATGTGGGGGACAAGTGCTGTGTTTACAGGGGGCTCAGTTACTGGAGCGATGTACGTCGTCCCTTCCTCAGGGCTTTGGGGTGGCGGCTGCTGCCGCTGCTGTGGCTGTTCCTCGTGCATCCCTTTCAATTTGCCCAATTTTTTGGACTTCCGGGCTGTGAAGACAAAAAGCACAAAAACCAAGTCAGTAGAGAAAAGTGTGAAAAGCTGGCATAAGCCTGGCTTTATAGAAAATCAAAGCAGAAGTAGCACCGCAAAACTTCACAAGTGAAACAAACACCGAAATCACCAGGACCCTAAGAAATACTTTGCAGCACTGTTAGAATGGGAAAAGGAACAAAAGAAACATTTAAAGTTCAAATTTCGCTGCTTTAGTGTGCATCTACAAGCATCAGTGTCCAGTGATTTGCGTTTCTATGTCTCTATACAGACCTGCATAAAACATCCAAGTTACAGCAGCAGGTGCCGTAAGCATTTCAGTTTATTTGTACTATAGTTTAGATGGATCACTTATCACCTACACGTTTGTAATTCATGTTCTGCACTGCATTTTGTAATCAAAAGAGGCCTCCCTGGCAATGCCTAAAATTAGCAGACCTGAAGCCCTCCTAAGCTTGTGAGCCCTTGTACACACCCTAGCTGTGCCTCGACTCGAAAGGCAATCAATCCACTCTGAACAGCCTAATCTAGTCAAATCCCCTTGGGTTTGGTGCTTTGATCCTTCCTTAAGAGCCTCCTCCTCTCTCAGTGAGTTCTGAAAAAATAATATGAATAGGTACCCAGTTAGGCAAAAAACACTAAGCCTCACATAACACTTCTCCCTCACGTCTATCAGCTCTTGGTGATCAGCTTTCCTCTATCTATTTATTTTTTGCTTTAATGCTAACCTCCTTACTTTCTTTTACTAAATGTTCTTGGAAGACAAGAACACTAGAGCGCTTTCACTCCTCGCAGAGAAGCCAGCCGTACTCTGTGGGATTCATTCCCAACATTGCCATGTGAAGGATGGATATTTAAGTAGGTAGTAAGCCCTGCTCACACACCAGCAAAATTAGCCTACAGTGTGCTGAAAGAACGGGAAACAGAAAGCAAGATTAAGTAAACAAACACACAAAACACCAAGGAACATAAAAAAAGCCCATCCCTCCCTTCTTCCAGTAGCTCATTACTGTTCTCAATTTTTGAGCTCTAAGCAGTGTTTTCCACTGATACCTGAACATGGAGAAATAAACTATTTATTCATTTTCTATTCCAAACTCAATTTTTAAGGTTAAACATCTAAGTAAAGGTTGTATTTCAACACAATGTTCCTCTCCTGTTCAGTGTGCAATATATCCAGAGGAGGCAGTGCAGGCTTGTTTCCTGTCATCTACCCTGTTTCAGTTACTCCTTCTATCTGCAATTGATGTCAATTGCAGGGCTAAGCTCACCTCAGTGGCATTACATTACACTGGAACAAAGTCCCTTTTTGACTTAGGCTAGTTTTGCATGCCCGGACTTCACCTGTGGAGAAACTAAAGCTGGTAGTGGAGTTACATATTGAGGAACAGGAGTCTTTTATCTCTGTTTCCATGTCAACTGGGAGAAAACAGAGATGGTGCCCAGTGTGGCAGCACAGCCCAGGGTCCTGTGATTGTGTGATATGCCTTAAAATCAGCATGGGTCAGATACATCATTTCCACGCTAAACACAATGCAAAGCAAAGGCAAAATAGCAGTTCCAAATTTAAAACCCTACGTAAAGCATCAGTTAGCTGAAAGTTTCCCCTATACTCTGTTATACATACAGATGGACTGAATGTGAGGCAATGACTGGAAAAAGTAAAATAATCTTTAGAAACAATAAGCTAAGTGTAAATATTCACAGCTCTTTCAGAGCAGCTTCTCTCAAATCTGTTCTTTTCTGATATGTCTGTACACATCTAAAACTCCTGTCTTGACTCGCATCTCCTCCCAGTTATAACACCCCTTTTTCTGCATCAGTAAGTTCATCTGTAAGTGTACAAGAGATCCACAGAACTGCCTCACTACTCTTTTAAAAACTCTTAAAATTCTAGAACTTCAGAAAAATCTTCTGAACAGATGTGCTGCCTTTGTCCTGAGAATACTGCTGGCGATGGGGCCAAGTAGTGCTTGCCTGTTTCCTTGAAACTGGGGCTGCATGCCCAGACCCACGGGCTGCGGACACACTGCAAGGCAGGATACAGCTGCCAGCACTCAGAACAACATGCGTCCCAATGCAACAACAGCCTGCTGCTGCCAGCACTTCCTTACAGCGCAGTACCTTGACCCCTAAGGATCCTGGGATAAGCTAGCTCCAGGAGCAAACTTGTTTGTTAGGGAAATCCCAGGAGATTGTGACATAAAATAGCAGTGGTACCACTCACATGCAAGATCTCAAAGGTCAAATAGGCACTCTTGGACTATCGTCTTAAAAACTCGTAATTCATTGCTATCACAGTACATATTGAACCTCGCAGGAAGGGCAAAAAAATCTGAGCATCAGATTGGTGCCATTTCCATCAGCCACAAAATAAAGCTTCTCCTGACTGATTGCTGCATCAACATTGCCAGGAGATCTGCAGAGAACGTCAGAGATCTTTGTTCAACATTTGTAACTTCCTCTTTGGAGAGTCAAACACCATTTCATTAACTCATTTGCAGCACAAATTTCTGTTTTCAATCATCTCCTCATTTCTGTGTGCCTGCAAATATCCAGACCAACTGTTGCAGGTTGAATTTTTTTAATAAAAGGATGAGAGAGGCAAATAAAAAATGTGCTGGCACTAATAAAATAAAATTTAAAATTATGTTGTTCAACTATCCACAGATACTGTTCAAAAACTTCCTAATTACCTGAAGTATTAGCATGGATTACACAGAGAAACACTGGAGTTGCCATGGTTGGAGGTGATACGGAAGATGTGAGACAAATATTAGTCAGGAGAGGTTTCACTGCAATGGGTTCTGTTTCAAGAGACAGACAAATAAGCTGACCCTTCAACCTCCCTTCCAATTCTATTTCTTACTTTTCTATTACTAAGCAAAAATGCTCATTCAGACAACGAAGCACAACTGAAGGATTTTTCATCCTCTGGTGCCCCAAGTTTCATGGATGCTGGCACCCATTCTTCAAGATGCAATTTCTGTTCTTAGTATCCAAAAAGCCATTTTACAAAATGCAGCTGATCAGACATTTTGTTAAAAAAGCTTTTTCCTTACTCTGCAAAATAAAGTGGAGGGCGTTACGGAAAGGCAGCGCAGACAACTGTTAAATTTAATTCTGAAAAGTAAGTGAAAATGCTGTTTTTCCCCATTTGGAGCAGTTGCACCTACAGGATGACGTACTGGTGAGATCACTGCGAGCATTAAATATAGTTCACATTTATCTTAGAAAGGCAAAGCTGAACTTCCGCATTTTTCAAAAAAAAAAAAAAAAATTAAAAAAAAAAAGAAAAAAGATCCCCAAAGCAAAGCAAGAACGGCCAAGTTCAGCAGAACACTGGATGATGAGTTGCCAGAGCTATCAGTCACTGAAAAGAGAGTTTGAAAATACGCCTGGAGGAATAGATAGAGATTAATGCTTGCTGCTGTTATTCATTAAATTTTATCAGGCATTGGTTTTTTTTCTGTTATCAAAGTAGAACTAAAAATAAAGAACTTTACATATCTTTCATGTTTGCAGAGACCAAAAATGCATTCTTACCATAACACTACCAGAATAAGAAATCTATTGGTTTAACAACTCTATCAGGTACCTAGCGATAGGGATACCTGATTACATATTTTTTATAACATAATTCTGCATGTTCTATCCACTGAAACCTTCATTAGGAGAACAGAGAAATAGCATTCTTCCACGTATAATACTGGCATAAAAATGTGTTTTAGTTTCATTTTGTTCCGTTATAATGCCTTTAAAATGAAGCTGAGAAAAACATTACTGCTTGACAGTCATGTTTACAGTGAAGAAAACTGTATTTTTCATTTGGTCTCGTGCCAGAGCTCTAGCTCAACTGGTTTGGTAACTCCCACAGAAACCAACAACTAACGATTAAACACAAGCGCAGAGAAGTACATACTTCGAGCCTGTCTTTTAAAAGTGTTTTGCACGTTTGCTCTCTAATTGGAATACCAACTACAAAACCACCTCCGAATCTGTGAGAACAAGCCAAGCTTATCAGGATACCCATGTGGAAATGTTGGAAAAGCCACACGGTCACCATGCAGACCAGGGGGCAGGGCACGTATGAGGCTTTCAGGCCTCAGATGAAGCCTAACAAGTACTAAGGATTAGGATAGGACCATCACCAAGATGGCAGCACCGTCACGAGTTTCTTGCCCCTCCTGCTCTGTGCTATTGCAGCCAAGATACCATATTATAATCCCTGTATTTTTAAATAACTGAAGATGGAATAAGAGCTGAAGAAAAACAAATAGTGAAAGATGCACTGCAGGTATACTTGAAGTTAACACATAAGACATCTAACATTACTTTTGTTAAGTATTTTAGGAGGTCTTGCACACTGCAGTAAAAACAAATATTGAAATAAGGTGAAGTAGCTGAAAAGTTGTAAAGTTGCACTTTGAACAGGCATGCCCAACAGACCTCCCCCATAACTCCAGCAATAAATCACACAACAGAGAAATAAACAAACACCACATCTGACTAAATATAGCAGTCTATTTCCCTGGAAGAGACAGACAAAAGTTGGGCAGACCTTTGCCCAACAGGTTCAAAGGACAGCCTTCCAATTCTAGGAAACTACATATTGTTCCACGTGCTTGAAGATCTCAGCAAGAGCAACCTTCACAAACAAGCACAGTTGCTCATAGTCCTCAGCAAAAAGACTGGGCTTAATCGTTTGAGAGCTACTGACTGGAGAACAGGGTGGACTCACATTTGGACAACGGGCTCCTTAGAACTGGTGCTTCATCTGTTAGACTGCTGTCAGAAAGTCACAACTGGGAGCCCTCTGGTTTTATGACTGCAAGTTTTCACGTGATCAGCTACACAAGCTGGATCCAGAGGGGACTAATCTATATTCCACCCATTCCCAAGGAGTAAACATGAAGTAAACACAGCCTCAAAACTGGGTACTATTTTTCACAGGCTCAAAATCAGTAACTTTCATCAGCATTATTGTTGAAGAAAT